TTTGATAGGTAAGTAAAGGAATGGACATTCACAACTTATGACTTTTGTTAATTCAGTATCAATATACTTTTCTTGTGTCTCTTACACAGTATTCTGCATGCATTGAGTTCTGACCTTTATCATAATAGAACAAAGAATTGAAACCCCTAACTGTGGGGATGCTGGCTGGACTTCTCCAGGATAAACTGTTTAGCATTATGCCAGTGTGGCATGGCCAGCTGGAATGTGTATAACATGCAACACATGGTTGGTAAAGGTTAAAATAATTGTGTAATAACATAGAAACACTTTGTAGTATTGAAAGAAGCCTAGAATATTTTGGAGGATGTATTGCCTCTGTCTTTAGGTAAAAGAACAAGAATTGGGCTTGGAGAGAGATTTGTACAAGAAGCAGTATAAATTATGTTCCAGGCTGAGTATAGAACAGGAAGGATGGGTACCATAAAAAATTTGGAAGATTTTTCTAATATTTACAGGTAGCCCTCGATTTACGCCGGGGATGTGTTCCTGGACGAACCGGCATAATTGGAATCGGCATAAATTGGAACGATTTTATAATGTAAATCAATGGGAAGTCAATGACATGCGTTCCCAGCACCCAAACATTGACGAGTAATATAATGGCATTACATGTATAGCTCTGAAATAGCCTAAATAAAATAAAGGAAATTAAAACAATATATTTTGTACACTTACAATCAGCAATGGCGTGATGATGCAGTGTTAGTTCTCTGACGAAGTCCGTGATTGAGGATCATCATGTTTTTTAAAGAAGACATGTAGTGTAGACTGTCATGATTTATTATTTCTTTCTTTGAAAATTTCACGATAAGGCCTCATGGATACCATAACGCTCCTCTTCACTGTAACACAAGAGCAAGCTCACATATGCAAAAGTTTGCATTTCACAAACAGCTTTTACCGATTCATCGATCTCATTGGAGCAAATTTGAGTTAACGAAACATACGTAATTGCAGAGATGACTGTATTTATAATTTTTATTCAAAATCAGCGATCTAAGAATTACGATTTAGTATAAGAAGCAGTACGAGAAACATTGTAAAACGTTATAAATAATAGTAAAATATATTTTTTTACTTTTTGACTTTCTGGTTTCAGAATCAGTGTTATTCTAAATCGGCGCAAATCGAGGGCTACCTGTATATATATAAAATGCAGAAGACACTGTACTTTATGTAAATTCTCATAGAAACCTCAAATCTTAAATGCAAATAAGTGAAGAGACTGAATTCTCTGTGATTCACTTCCAAAAGTGACACAACTTTCTGAGGCTCTGTATTAAATTATTTTGAGATTTGAATTATTATTTGAGGTTTTATTTTCTATGTGGCTTATAATTTTAACTTCTAAACCTAGTGATGGACTCTAATGGGCCTGTTCACATATCACCTGTTATTATGGATGTGAAAAGTCACTGGATGAAGTTTGAAGTAAAAGAAAGAGGTATCTATTTTGTGCTGCCCATTAGATAAAGCTGTTCCTTAACGGTAGGCACTGAAGTAGATCAGAAGTTGGTCCTTTATCCAAGAAGGGAGTATAAACCTCAGTGGGACTGCAGAAATGAATTGAACAGAGAATGTGGTGTGTAACAAGAAGACATATGGAACTGACAAATCAGTAACAAGCGAAATATAATGGGATGTGGGAAATCCATATTCTGAAAACAAAAATATTGTTGTGGTTTGGGTTCATGCTGTGCACATACTCTTGTGTATATATGTCTGTAAATATATGACAACTTCCTCAGTACAGTAAATGACATCCACATAGATGAGATGTCTAGACTTATTCAGGTTATATTTTGTTCTAAGAAGACCATATGAGCCAGTTTATATTTTCTGTTTTATTTATTAGGTCTGTATTTGCTTTTCAGTTTGACATTAATGACTTATGAACCGTTGTGAAATTTGGCATGAAGACAAGTTACAAACATGTGTAGAAATTTTGTATAAAACCTTTCTTGTTGAAAACTTAAAAAACATTAAGGTCACTAAGAATACAAGGTAATTTTCACAAGTTTCAGTCAAAATATAGAGTAAATATAGACCAACAAGTTACATCAGTATGATTTATACATTTGACTGATCTGTCCAATTGGAAGCATTTGAAAGAAAATAGGTCTCAACTGTTTTCCATATATTCGTTTTACCAAACAGATTTAAATCTGGGAATATACAAATTGAGAGTCAGTAAAGTTTGTAATTAATATGTCATAAACCACTTATTTTATTTTTACAGTGATGATTCAGATCAAGACATTTCAGATGATCTAACAGGTGACAAGAAGGAGGTACTCGAATTTTTGTCAACAGCTACAGTTGGAGAGTTACGAGTCATACCCCACTGTTCCCAAAAGAAAGCCGAGGCAATCATACAACAACGACCTTATATTGGGTGGAAAGATCTAGTGAGTAAAATTTATATCTTATATGATGCTGATCATGTCACCTGTCACAAAGGTGTCAGAATCCTGAGTACCAGTTATTTTAACGCATATATAATGGTCTATCTGTGTGACTTTGAAAAGCCAGCAGGTGTACAGAAAGTGATTTTTGTTGCACCAAATTTGAAAGCTTGAAGTTAATTATTTATTTCTTGATAGGCAATGATGAGTCTATAGAAATCGGACATGTCTTGCATCATAGCAAATAAACAGTCATCTATGTAATTTGAATATTTATTTTGTTGTTTTGGTAAAGAGTAATTCTTTCTCATATGCACAAGGTACGTAGTGTTACATAGGAGGATGGTTGGCTGTAAATGATGAATTGGGAAGGATCTGGAAGGAGGCAGTTATAGCTTGTTTGAAGGCAGTATCTCAGCATTTGTGTGGAGAAGTGACAGAAACCACAAGTAACTAAGGTCAGGCCTCTGGGCCAAGAATTGAGCTAGGGATAGTATGAATAAAGTGCAGGCCTATCTGAGCAGAAACAAAGGAAAGTAAAATAATGAAAGGTGACTTAGAAAGTTAATTTTATTTTGTTTCAACTATAAACATGTCATATTCAGTCAAACAATGGAGTTGATTTATTTGAAAGTGTCTCAGTACCAGTTTCATTATTTTTTTCTTGAGTTTTAAAGTGTTGGACTTGGTCTAACATTGTGCCATAATGTGATTTCCCAAATGTGAGACAATAGTCCAGTCTACTTTGTGGAGTTAGGGTGAGGAGCTAAACCTTAATAAACTTTCATAGAAAATGACTATCTACTGCAGGTTGAGAAATTCCAGGAGGGAAAATTTCTTGGAACAGAACTGCTCAATTCTGCTCAAGATGTTCTGAGAGCTCGTCAGGTGGTTCAAGCCTTAATGAAGAAGTGTACCAAACTTGCAGCACAAATGGAGCGTGCAATAGCTGCTGGGGCCTCTAGTGTTAAGAAACAGCCGTCTCTACTTTCACCGAGGTCTGTATGTGATCTTACTTAGCTTGTGAGTGTATTGAATTCTGGTTGTCCATGGTACCTGTTTCCTGCAAACAAGCAGAATTTTTGTGTTCGGGATGTCTGTGTTCATATATCTAAACTCATTTAATACATTCTATTATTGTTTTTTTAAAAAACTGTTTGAAGTGAACAGATATATGGGAATTTCAATCTTAAGGTTTTTTACAGTGGTACATTAGTATTGTTATGACAATTAGTATGACATTACTCATAGTCTGTTACTTAAAAATAAAAAAAAAATTACAATTTAAAATCCACTTTGTTTTGGAAACTGACTTTGTGTTGGAAACTGACTTTGTTTCCAAACAGGATAGATTGTAAATCTATTAAAGCATTGTTGCCCTTCTGTTGTAAGGTTTTATATTTTTATATGTATGTGATATTAGAATGCAATTCATACAGGTCCATTTGGCTGAAGGAATTTTTTACCTTTATCTTTGAATAATTTTTTAGATGATAAGCCATTTTTGTTTTATTTATTATAATATATTAATTTGAGTACTTATAAGTTAACAGGATCAGTGGGGTCCGTAAGATAAAGCTAATCTTAAATTTTAAAATTTGTAAGTAGCGGGCAGTGGACAATGTCAAAAGTAAATATTGTAAGAAAAAGGGGATATTTTCTGTCATGGATCTGTTTGCATGTTTCATCTACAAAACTACTGAAGAAATAATGTTTACTACAAAGTCATGAAGACTGATGTCATTGGAATACTCCTCTTTACCTTTGTTTTCTCCTTTGTAACAAGTAAATATTGTTAAATCTGTAGTATGGAGCATGTATATAAAATAAATTCTAAAGTCAAAGTAAGAAGTACCAACTAGTTATTATGTATTCTTTGCACAATTCGCATAAAATGAACACAGAACTGGATGGTCAAGCTTATCCTCAGAACCACTGTACAAATTTTGATTAAGTTTTATGTAAACATAATGCCGTTGAAGGCAACTGCAGACTCATATTTTTTCATTTCCAGCCATAAATAACATGCCAACAATAACATGTTCGAAACACTAACTCTTGAGGTGGGAGTGACAGTAGCACCACTTAATATAGGATACTGAAATTATTTGTGGTAACATGTCCTCAGAAATATGTTTTGTTTGATAACGTTTTTAAAGATGTAAAAATAAGAACATGGTGGCTGCATGAAATATATATTTTACTTTCAGTTTGATGCTGATAACTGATGAAGCCATGTAGTTTGGAAATTGAAAATGTTGTATGGTGACAGATCATAAGCATACATACCATTTCTCTATGACATACTTTTACAAGGTAACAGTTAAAAACATGGCAGTTATGTGAATCTTCAAGATTATGCCCAGTAAATTTAACCTAGACAAAATCTGTACTAATATGTTTTTTCCAAGAAGAAAGTAAATTATTCTAATATTAATCATATAAAAAAGATGTATACATATTTAAAATTGGAATCATTAAAACAGTTCAGGCTTGATCAGGATTTGGTCATGTGACCTGCTTATGGGCTGAATTGTATTTTACTGTTCATACTACTTAAATATGACATTGTCAACACATTTTCTGAAGTTAAATTTGAAAGATGTTTATAAAATTAAGAAATTAATTATTTTTTTCCCCTGAATAATTTTCTCTAAAATTAATAGGTTATGAAGTATGCCAACATGTATTGCACGTACTTACATTACATGTTGTGAATAGTTGGTAATGTACAAATATAAATTCAAGGCCCATTATTTGAAACTATCAGTTTGTGTAAAAAAATTAGCAACAGACTCAAAAGACAAAAATTACTATTAAAACTTGTGTTCATGTTTGTTTAGTAATTAAAGTTATTTAGAACATCTAGTGTTATTTAGAATGCCAGCATACGTAGAGTACACCTGGAAGCTCTATACTGCTGTTGAGATCTTTCCAATATTGTTGAATGAAAGACAAAGGTCAAGATACAGTATGTAAGCTTCAGGATCTCTTTATGTGTGTTACATTGTATGCCACAACAATCTTTCTTACTACGTAACCACTTTACCCAGGCCATGCCATGCCATAGCATAGACAGTTGGTCATCTTTTTTCACTATGAAGATCCAGGTTCAAAGTTACCAGTTTAATATTGTGGAGGCATGTGTTCACTTAGGGTATTCCATGTTGAATTTATGGTAGAAAAAGTGGCAATGGGACAGGTTTTTGTCAAAGTCCCTTTGTTTTTCCCTGTCAGTATCATTCTACCACTGCTATATTTGACTTAGGTGTCACCTAGGGGATGGACAGTAGGCTTGTTAGAGGCTTAGTTAATAGAGACGTAATCTCACCCCATTGTAACAATAAAGGAAAATACTTTACCCAGAGATCATACTTAACCCTTAGCTGGACTGAGTTCTGAGCTTTGTGTCTTGCCTGTCCTGAGTTTGATACCTGTTTACATGAACCTTTTTTGTAAATTCATACATGTGACACAGTCGTCCAGGTTGTTAGTAATAGCTACGGTGTTACTCCAGACATACACTGATTATTGAATTTCTTTATTGCAGTCTTACACTCGCAGGGTATCAGATGGTCGGTCTCAACTGGCTCTTGGTTATGCATGGGCAGTGGTTGAATGGGATCCTGGCTGATGAGATGGGTCTTGGAAAGACAGTGCAAGTGATTGCATTCCTGGCACATTTGAAAGAGACTGGAATGCAGGGTGATGGACCTCACCTTGTAGTGGTTCCATCTTCAACACTTGGTTAGTGTGTTCTTTGGCTTTCATTTATATGCTTTGTAGATAAGAAATTAATATTTTTGTTGTTGTTGTCATAATATTTTAAAAAGCTATATTTTTTTGAATACTTAATGTAAATCTAATTAAGACTGTTATCATTGTCAACATCCTCCTCCTTAACTTTCCAGTTGATGTATTTAACTGGCCCTGTCACGATACTAAAAACAGAATTTTGTTGATGTTTGTGGATGTCTTTGACAAATTTAGCTTTGGCAGAATCTGTACATAATAACTTCTTCTGAATATTATGGTGATGATGATGATGATTCATTTCAGTTCTTTGTTTTAGTATACTGCATAAACCGTCAAATGGCCAATTACACATACAAAAAGTAATAAATATAATGGTATTGAAAATGAACAAATTATAATAAAATTACAAAATTAAGGTACTAACAGAACAAATAGCTGCTTTAAAGTCTGATTCAGCTGGGGTAGCTCAGTCAGTGTAGTGACTGACTATGGACTGGACGACCGGGGTTTGATCCCCAACGGGGGCAGAGGATGTTTCCTCTAGCCTCTGCGTCCAGACCAGCTCTGGGGGCCCACCCAGCCTCCTATCTAATGGGTACCACGGCTCTTTCCCAGGGGTAAATTGTGGCTGGGGCGTGACGCTAACCATTCACCCCTATTTAGTGCTGAGGTTAAGAATGAGTTGGTGCTGTACTGCCTCTATCCTCAAGCACATACATGACAGCTTTCCATTCTTTACAAAAATTCTGATTAACTTTAACCAAATGATATTTGTGACTGATGCACATCTACCAGAGGGACAATTTTTATATGAGGAACAAACAGTATACAGAGGAAAATCTCTAAAATTTCAAGCAGTAGTGTGAATGCCAACATTTTCAATTAAGGAAGGATAACATTTTTAAATACAGTAAACATTAACAAGAAGATTGCATGTTAGTGGTGTCTCTGAGTGCATATGATTTGAAAATTTGAGTGCACTATAGCATTAATATAACTCTAATAATTGTAATAATAATAATGATTTGTACTGTGGTTGTAGTGGTAGTGCCATACTGTAACACATTTACAATTACATGTAGTTTTGTTCCACTTGGGAAGTTTTAAACTTTTGTTTTTAATATATGTAACAATCCAAGTAGACCTATTACCAGAAAGTTATGGTTTTATTTCTAGAAAGGATTATTCCATTTCTCAGGCATGAAAATGGGAAGGGGACTTTTGAATATTTTTGGACAAAGGAGAAACTATCTAGACTATCAATAAGGCAATTTCAAACATATAAAAAGTAATTAAAGTTAGGCGTTGTATATTTCAAATAGAGAATTTATTGTTATTTAAATCTCCACCATTCAGTCATTTTAGTAACATGTTTTTCTATATTTTATGGAGATAAGATTCTGATATGATTTACTTTGTAGCACCAGGAAAATAGCTCTGATTTAAACAGTTATTAATAATGTGAAACACCATTCCCTGTAAGGAGAAAATAATTCTGTTTCAGAGAACTGGAACAATGAGTTTGCTAGGTGGTGCCCCTCACTGAAAGTTGTAACTTATTATGGTTCTCCAGAGGATCGCAAGGCCATGCGTATTGGGTGGATGAAAGGCGGTCTTGAAGGTGTTGATGTCATTCTTACTACGTAAGTAAACAGTTGAGTTCATATTACTGTCACAGATATGTGGTAAAATACCAGAAGCTTCAAGCTTACCACTCACTGCACTCTACAATTTAATGCTGATATCTGTGATGTGGTGCCTAAGCACATGGGTCTTTATTATAAGTCTCACATGAATTTAATGTTGTTTTAGTCATTTTCCTAAAATTGTATTTTATAACTGTATATTATATTTTGTTCCAAAAACAATAAGAAAAACAAGAGTGTATATGATAGATATATGATATATATATATATATATATATATATATATATATAGAGAGAGAGAGAGAGAGAGAGAGAGAGAGAGTATGATCCTGTATTGAAAACAGAGCCGCCTGCACATACAGTCACCACCTACCAAGTCTCCTTAATGTACTCTTCTGCTTTCTTACCCACCTCACAAATTGAATATAACATTAATCTTTCTTCTGGATGCAGATACAGTATAGTGAGTAGTTCCCCAGAAGAACGAAAGATGTTCCGGGTGCTACGTATGCAGTATGTTGTTCTAGATGAAGCACACATGCTGAAAAACATGGCCACACAAAGATATGACAATCTTGCAAGAATTAATGTGAGTAAAAGAATAAACATTTCTGTAAGTAGGCATTGACTGTTAAGTTTGAATTGCTCCTCTTGCTGTATGTTTCATATTTTTAAATATGTCTGTCCATCCAAAATTGGCACACTGATGCCACTTGTTAGTGATAGTGTACAGTGAAACCTCGATGCATCGTTTTCGGCAGGGGTGGGAAATAAAAACGATGAATACGGGAAAACGATAGTTGCGGGAAAGCATTAAAATTTTTAAAACAAACAATGTTTCTCTTTCAAAGTTACTTCTTTTTACCAAAAAAGTCTTTAATGGACAACTGGTTTGTCGAAACTTTACGTTTTAGGCCAAACAGAGCACTTTCCACGTTCAAAATGTTTTCCTCGTCATGTTCACTAATATTATGCGCATAAAAGAACGACTTCACTTTTGCCAATGCTTCGGCAAAACTCGGCACAGCTTCAGGCTCGCATTCGTCGTCTTCCTCTTACTCACCACTCCCTCCCACTTCGCGAACAATAACAGGAAGAATGGTAATACTATTACTGCCGAACTCAACGAAACGTAGCTGTAGAAGACCCTGAACCACTGGAAACGAGATGAACCAGAAGAATAAAAAGTGTCGCCCGCCTTTCCTTTGTACTTATAATAAAAGCATTTGTGAAGAAATTCACACTTCACATGCCATCTGGCATCGCTGGAACGAAATATGAGTGCACCCTAATTAAACTCATAAAATTTCTGACAATGAGCACTGCCATTCACTCCAACTATCACCCCTGCACCGCTGACCCCTCATTCCAAAAGGATCTGTGCTGGTTGGGCGACATAACAGGTTACCGCTACTGTGTATTCCAAAAACATTGTGCGTCTTTCGGTATTAATTTATCTCAAAACCCAGCATTTTAATTTCTCAGAAACGATCATTGCGGGAAAATTGTGCCCCGGGACTAAGATTTTTGAACGATCGATGCGATAGAACGATAGTTCGAGGAACGATAGAAGCAGGAAAATGTAACATTATTTTATATGGGATATATCCAGGACCGAACAAAACGGACGATGCATCCGGGAAAACGATAGTTCCGGGAACGATGGATAGAGGTTTCACTGTATTTGTTTATTGCTGTGATGTATTTCAAACTTTGAGAGTCAGCAATATATCATAGGAAGCACTAGATATAAAGCCATCATCAACCCCTCCACTACCACCACCATCATCATCTTAAGTATTAGGACTACTTACTTGTCCTTTTATGTATATTATAAAATAGAATATTGCCATCTTTTTAGAGAATTTCCTGCATTTCTTCTTTGTCAGGATTGATGTACCATATTTTCTCAAATATCCTACACATTTTCTCTTAAAACAACTAACTGCAAAAAACCGGGGTTGAAAACTTATTTGTGACAGCATTGACAACACATTCCATCCCAAGCACCATCTTAACTTTACATTTTCCTCAACTTTTACTTCCTTTTGCATATTTATGGTATAACCATGCACAATGACATTGTATGAGTGTGAGGAATTGGGTTAGTGTTCTAATAAATGAGCATGAAAGGCATGTGTTTATCTCCCATTGGTAGCAACACCATACATTCTTCAAAAAATTGGTATTGCTGATCAAACACCCATTTTTATATGTGTATTTTTAAATGATCCTCAGTATTACAGTGAACAATAAAACTGAGAAGAGTGTTGTAGTAAGAAGTGATGACAGAAAGCAGCAGTGGTGTACTATAATGTTGTGCAGTTGGGCAGAGAGCATATTTAAGAAGCTTGGTGGCACACAGGATGACTGCTTATGGGACCATGATCCTTAACCACATGAGCTCAGATGACTATAAAGACAGTGGAGAAAAGTTACTGCAAAGCTGTTTGATCTCACAGAGTTCTTCAGTTTGAGGAAATAGTGTTTGAATAGCAGCACTAGTGGCTTGTCCCTGGAAAATACATAGCTGTAGTAAAAATGAATGAAGATTATTGTTTTTGAATTTGAAGACACTTTGTGTTTTGTACACTTATGCTTGATGTGCATACCTTAATATTTCAGTAAATCCACATTAACTTTATCAGTTAATGCTATTCAAGGACAATCAGTATTTGAGAAAATATTATACAATTCTTAATTTGGATTCTGTTAGATTTAATTATTTTAATATCTTTACCCACTGACATTTTTAGAAGGTATTATCTTATGACAAAGCCTTCTTCATCCTATGTATCCTCAGTACTATTTTTTTTCATCTGTGCCTTTACATATGCCTTTAGTCACATGGTCTCTTCACATTGTTCTTTGTCTCCCCATTTCTGATTTCTTCAACATCCTCTTTGGAACTCAGAAAAAATTTGTTAATGTCTGTAACACATGTGCATAGCATTTTATCCTTCAGAGCTTGTGTGATGTCATTTCAGATTTTATTAATTTTTGTTTATTTTTAATATTCTGTACAAACTTCATCCCTGCTGCTTATAATCATCTGTTCCTGATGTGTCAACATTTCTTTTACAATGCTGCATAAAAGTAAAATTTGTTAGATTTGAGGTTTTGACAGCAGTGAGTCTGAAGATGGCTGACTTCTAGGTTTCACTCATGATGATGGAGGTAGCAAGGATCTCTGAAACATTGGTATACTTCTACCAAACCATATAGTGCTACAACCCAGAAGACAGCCATCTCCATAAAATTTGTTTCTCTTCATTACAGCTGACATTAATCTTCTGTCATCAGTCCTTATGGTCCACATTTTACTCCCATATATATTTGTTGAACAGTTCTTTATGAATCTGGATTGTGAGGTCTTGAGACTTAAGATGGTTTGATTAATGTTATGTATATGACACAGTGGTTTAAGGTAGTAAACGATATATTTATTTGTTCTTAGGCTGAACACCGTATTCTGCTGACTGGCACACCATTACAAAACAATCTCATAGAACTGATGTCACTATTAATATTTGTCATGCCACACATGTTTGAGGGGAAGAAGGATATCCTGAAGAGCCTTTTTTCTAAATGTCCGGTAAGTAGTGGGAGTTCACCTTCATGGACTGGTGAAGATGATTATGCTAATCATCATCCATTGACGTTTCTATCAAGACATATCATCTCATGACAGGTTCCTCTGTTCTTGTCTGGCCTACCACAAGCACTGCTTTTGTGTATTTGTATACTTTTTCCCAGCTCTTTTTTGCATGTCCTTTACTTTGTCTTCCCAGTGATGATTTGTTTACATCTCCATTTTTTTGTCTTTCAGAGGGATCCTATGATAATGATAATGAGTACAGAATTGTCATTACAATTATAATAAGATTATAGCCATATTTTTATTATTATTGAAATGAATTTAATTATTATATTATATTTTATCCTGTCCTGTTGTCAGTGCTTGGCTGTTATTGGTCTTATTTGGCTGTTGTGAAGCACTTAGATAAATGAATTGAATTTAATTGAATTGTTGTTGTTGTTATTATTATTATTATTATGCTCTGTCATCTTTCAGCGAGATGGTACAAATACTTTAAAAGAGGATGAGTTACCTCGATTTGAGCAAGAACAAGTAGCACAAGCTCGGAGAATTATGAAGCCATTTGTTTTACGGCGGTTGAAGTGTGAGGTCTTAAAAGATCTGCCTACAAAAACAGATGCAACACTACTATGTCCTCTTACACCAAGCCAACAGGAAAAGTATCATGACCTTATTCAGACGTTTTCTCAGCAGAGCACACAAGAGGTAACTAACATTGGCTTCCAATGTCCTCATGTGGTCAGCTATTTAATACACTTTGAAACAAACACTGACTAATGAAGGAAACAATGAAAATATATATATCTGATTATGTCCGTACTGAACTGTGAACCTACTAAACAGCATATATATTGACCACTAAAATCTCTTACGTTACACTGTTGTTGCAGCTGACAGGCAGTAGTAGGGAACTGAGTGGCATGGCAATGATGATGCAGCTTCGAAAAATGGCAAACCACCCAGTGCTTTCACGGTACCATTTTACTGATGAACAATTGGAGGACATAGCAAAACGATTGGCTGCAGATCCCACATACAAAGAAACTAATCCTGAATATATTGTTCAAGATCTAGCTATAATGTCAGACTATCAAATTCACCATCTGGGTTCTGTTCATAAGGTAATGTAGTTCTATTTAATTTCCTTTGTTCTGGTACAAGCTGAACTGGACACTGGAAAATTTCCCTTCACCACCATGTCCAGAATAGTTTTGGGGCCTATCCAAACTTCTTTCTTGAGGATACCAAGATTTTTTCTTCTAGCCACAAGTTGGATACAAAACAAGTAATGAGTATAATCTCTTATATTTATGAATATGTTTTCAGAAAGTAATTAAAGTATTCATAATTTGAGCAAGTTTAGAATAAGGTTTTATCATGTTGTGTAATATATAGATGGAAAGAAAACAAAATTATTTATTTTCACCAATATATAGAAGGAAAATTTGAAAGTTCAAGACAATGATCCAAACATGTTGCGACATACTCCCTCCATTAAAATCACTGCCATTTAAATGTGGTATTTCTGGATGCTCTCTCAGCATTCTTTGTCTTAATATTACTATCTGTATTGCTTCTGCACTTGGAGACCCTGCCAGCTAAGCTTAGGGCACAGTCAGAATGGTTAGTGAATTATAGGGCAACCAGATGAGCATATCTGCTCTAATACATGTTCCCTCTGTCTCCTATTTAACATACATTGCCTTAATAATATATTTTCCTTTAACAAATATAATTTCTTGTGATTGTATACAATTTACAGTGTGAGGGCAGTCCACGGATAAAGTGGCACTGGTGAAGTTGTTCAGAATATTTTAATGTCCACTGCTAGTCATTTCACTGCTGCTCCTCTTTGTCTGTAAGTGACCAAGGTGTGCAGAGACTACAAACGGGTCTTTATAACTCTGTTTTTTTGTTGTTTCCATTTTGAAGCAGTTTTGTTGATGATCTGTTTCTTTCCATTATTATTAATCTGTTATCACTTGCATCTGTATATTTAGTTTGCAATATCAAGTTTCACCAACATGGCTGTACGTGTTAAAGAAAGTATTGACATTATGAAGTTGTATTTATCCAGCTTAAAGAATTAACAAGATTGGAAAGGTGTACTCTTTGGAGTACACTAATTCCAAAGATGTTCTTCATGCCACAACATTCGCTGTGACCTCAGGAGGTTTCTTCATTACCAAAATGAACTGTGAACTGAGATTTCTTATACTTGAAAGGGATAACAAAGATAGCCATAGTATCCAAGGTCATTGTTGTAAGCTAACAGTGACATCGGTTACCATTGTTGTAACATTGTTCCCCAACAATATAATTGGTTCCCATTGTAGCTACAGTGCATTTGGGTTGTTAATTCATATTTAAGTCTGACAAAGAGAATATTTTGCTAAGATGGTGTTACATCTATTATCAATTTTGTCTTCATGTCT